GATAGTTTTTTTTAAACTATTTGATTTTGAGAATGGAATCCCACAGATTTTTTTGAGCCCTTCTTGGACAGCTGGTATAGATAGTTTATTTATTCCTAAATATACTCCTGTAGACACAGTATCATTACCTCCCTTTTATCTTAGCTTTTCCATTTGGCATGGAAAAGAAACACAAGGGCCCTCTGAGGGCTGGCACCTGCATGCTTGACATCCTTTTTCTCCCAACAGAAAGATGGACCTCAGGTTTAGGATGGCTGACAGGTAAAGTCAAGAAGTCCTGGGAAGTGTGGCTTTCATGATTTTTCCATCTCCTATCACCAATTACCAGAATATATATTAATTTTAATAAATGTTTTAATTTTAAAGCACGTTTATTTTTCAGCTAAACTTCTGACAGGAGTGCTGGAACTTTTTGGAAACAGCATCTTTATCTTTGTGCATGGTCTTTTATCCTGAAGACTGAACTGGGTTGGCATGTTAGGCTTGAGGGGAAAAGAGGCTGAGCCACCTTTCTTCATGAAGGGAATGTGGATTAGAACAATATGAACATTTTATGTAAATGATTGCTGTTTTTTTGCTGGCTATTATGTAATACCTTATCCAGCACGAGAACCTCTGCTTACTCAGCATTATCTGAAATTTTTTGTGTGTGTGAGAATATCTCTTTATCATAGCTAATATTTACTGAGTACTTGCCATTTACCAATCACCATCTTTTTTAATTTAATCAATGTATTAATCTTATAAATTAGGTATTTTTCTCATTTATTCAGATGAAGAGATGAAGGCTTAAAGGACAGTTTACTTCACCAAGTTAATTTGTATAATTGGGATTCAATCAGGAGGGTACAGGGAGCGCCCTCTAGAAGTTGTATCCATCCCTTAACGATTCTACTATACAACCTCCTTTTAATGAACCACATTAATACTTCTGCTTCATAGCTAGTCAGAGATTATAACTCTCCTTAGAAATAATTCTCGATCCGTAAAATGAACCATAGTCACTTGTCAGTCCAAAGTGACCATGAGAGATTTAAACTCAAGTATCTCAGTAGCATTTTCACCAAATAGAATTTAAGTAGGTCTGTATGTAGGCCTACTCTTATTTTCCTGACTGACAGATGATTTTTTTTTTTTTTTGGTCACCAGAACCAAGGCAGGTAAAAACCTGTGGTAGTCTATACAGTTGTTTTAGGGACTCTTCAACAGCAGGATATGTGCACTTGCCTCTCACTGAGTTGGTGTATGTTTTAATAAGCCTAAACTAGCAAACGCAGGAACGAGGATTATACATGATCATTGATGTAGTCTATTGACAGCTCCCTTTGATTCTGGACATTTCTAGGTAGGGAAGCTTCTATACTAATAGGTTCAGTTTGAGAAATAACTTGTCAGCAGAACGGAGACTTGAATATTGTCTTCTGTTCAAACTCAGTTCTCTTTCATTATGTTTTGCTTCCTCTGAAGAGCAAATGCTCTGAGTGCTCTCCAGAAATGGGAAACAACCAAAAATTCCTTTTTTTATTTGGCTTATGAAAGACCAAATACCTAATTTGATGAGCCATTTGGAAATCTGATTATGGAACATACGGTGTTTTCTCTTTTGCATAGTTGCTATTTATGATTATAGTTTCTGGCAGTTGGGAGCTATGTTTGTGTGTGCATGCTCATGTGTGTGTATTTAGTCTCAAAAGAGGTATGACTAGCTAGTTGATTGAATAAGAAAAATAGTTAAGAGTATGTACTGGGAGGCTGACGTCAATAAATTGAATAAGTCTTCCTTTTTAAATTTATTGTTGTGTTCTTCCAGCCCTGCTTAGTTATGTTAAATACCCTTGACCTTTTCCCCTGCTTGCCTTTCAGGGCCTAAACATTCATATAAAGGCTTCCAATGTGATTAGCATTGATGCTTCTAGGATTGCTTAGAAACCAACAGTCAGAGATTAATTGTGGGCTGCAGCAGTGGTCAGCCCAGGAGACTTTTACATCTGCCTCTTCCCTGGATTGAAAATGCTGCTGGGACCATATGGCAGAGTGCTTCACAGAAAAGCCAAGAATGACTTTCTGGCTGAGTTTGGGATTATCATTTGCTTCCATTTTAACGTGGAGGTTATCGGCTTTGGGTTTGATTTACTGTATACTAATGGGATTAATTCTTAACTTGAAATCCCATGGGGGGTTGTGTGTGTCTAGAATCCAATTCTGGTAATGTTATCAATATGTCATTCAGGGAAAGATTTTATTAAACTATGTTTCTCTTTATGTGTATGGAAAGGAAAATACCAGTTAATAAATATCAACTTTGAATGACATATTCCCTTGAAAATAAAAAGTTTTATTTAGAACAAAGGTAAGGTTGCCTGAGTAGCTTTTTCGTTTTGCTTTCTTTAATAATCTGTAATTATCCAGTTAAATGCCAAAATGTCTTCCTTCCATGCAAAAGGGTTATTATGGCCTAGTTTATGTTCACGTTTACATACACGTCTGCTGACTCAACATAAACCTTCAAATATATATACCCAGCACCTGAAAACCTAAATTTAAAAAAAAAAAAAGGTGTTGAGAAGTTTAAAAAAAAAATGGATGGTGCTTGATTATTTTGATAATCAACACAAGAGAGACAGTCTCATGAGTCTGTCTTTCTGCGTTTGTCTGTCTCTGTGTCTTTCTGTGTAAGTTTCTATTTTTCAGAACCTCCCTGTCTTCAGCCCCATTTCTGTCTCTTTCTTTTCCCTTTATCTTTCAGGCTTTATTTTTCTGTCTCTCTCCTTTGTCCAGCTTCATTATTGGCTCCTTTGTTTTCCTTCTCTCTCCCAAAAGCTCTCCCTCATATAATATATACATCACTCTTGTGATGACTTTAACTTATGCTGTTTGCCTATCTTTTCATGTTATTTTTCACTTGCTTTCATACCAGGATAATTCAGGTAGCTATACATAGTACTATAAAATTTCTCAGCAGGGAAGTCTGAGAATTGGCATAAGGGTTTTAAATGTGCTTCATCTTCCCTTTTTCTCTACCTCCCCCTTTACTCTGCATCTCCACCCCCTACACACTTCCCTGCTCCATCAGGAAGCCAGAAAAGCATATTTGGTTACATAGTGATTAGAAATTAGGCTTTGAAACTCATGCACAATGAATAAACAGAATACACTGAGATTCTGTTTGACTTGTACCTCTAAGGTTTGGACCTGCAAAGTAAACAATGGTGCTTATTTGTAGTCGGTGATGATGATAGCCACCTGATCTTCCAGGAAAATCATATTGCTTGGGTAATAAATCTGTAGTCCCAAGAGGCTCCTAAGGTTAATAATTTGTCATCATGGTTATGAAATATGTGAACTTTTATGTGATTTTTACACACAGCTGACCACCTATAGAAATTAGGGATACTTTTTATGTTTGGGGGAGTTATTTCTTAAGGTCAGCAGCCATTTTCTTCTCACAGTGCAATAGTTCTGTGGAAAAGGAATTTTTTCCCCTTAATTGAATTGTATAGTACATCAGTTCATCTCTAAGAAAAGGTAGTGAGTGGCTGCCTTTGTATTAATACTGCTTCCCTCTAATAAATAGTAAACCTAGAAAGAGATTTTGCAATGGATCCAAAGGTATTTATTTAGTAAATCATATTTATTTCATACAGGATGTTTAATTCAACTGCCAAGTGTCTTCTTCATTTTGACTATCATTTTCATTTAAATAAACTCTGTTCTAGTTGACATTGCAGAAGAAATTAAGCTGAAAACTGCACTCTCAAAGATCCTTTCTTTTGGCAGACAGCTGACTTTTTGAATATTTATAATAAACATTTTAGAAAAATAATTTCTCTTAGATGAGTAAAACTTATTACATGGGCATTAATCTTTTAAGAATTAGATTTGAGATTTGGTTAAAATGCTTTTGACATTAATATTCTTTTCAGGAAATAAGTATTCAAATAAATTGTTTTCTCAGAAACTGACCCTGACTACAGAATTTCAGATCAGTAAAAACAAGGTCATTTGAAATCTACATTTCCTTCCCTTCTCCTAATTCATTTTACTTGCTCAATAGGATTTTCTCATGGAATAACTTTTTCCTATCTACCATAGTTAATAAGGTTGCTTTTCTAATCATGAAAAAATTTACCCATTCTGGCATTCAAATAAAAGTGAACTTAAAGTGTTTATGGTTTTAAAGCCAAGGTATATGACTAGAAGCAGATAAATGATATCATAACATTTATAGCCACAGAATTTCTCTGTAATTTTTAAATGCTTTTGGAAAAGTAGATACTGTGCCTAAAAGCATGCTTTTGTGTTTGAAATCTTTAGTGAACTACTTACTCAAGTCGTATGTTTCTAAAGCCCTGATTTTCTTTCCTCAGGATAAATTGCATAATGTGTTACCAGTAACAATGCCACATCATTTCAAAGACAACTGAATTAAGTAGTACAAGTTCTGGTTGCTGGAAACTAGGTGACATAAGGAAGGCACTGTTTTGGTTACCACACGCAGGATATATTTCTTAAATTACCAAGGTTTAGTTAGTCCTTCAACATCTTGTTATACCCACTTGTCATTCTCCTCATTGTTGTCACTTCCCCCCTGCCACCTTAACACAAACAATCATGTGGATTTTTTTTTCCAGACACTATTTTTGTTTAATCATTTAACTCCCTAGTAATATTGTGAATTATAAATAGTATTTGCCATTGGGAAAATAGTCGAGCATTAACTCACTGGCTCGATTGACTTTGGGGGACCAGATGGTGCCTTCTCCCTGGAGGAAGATACATTGGAGAGACATAGTTGTTAGAGAGTGCCATCTGATTTGATCCACTTTTAAGAAGCCTGGTTTTAGTTGGTTTCAGTTCTCTCAGGATACTATTTGAATCCAAATAGTTTTCCATTTCTTTATCATTATAGAATTGCCTTGTGGAAGAATTACTTTTTTATTACGTGGTGGTAGTAATATAGATTTAGTTCTTTGTGAATCTTTATTTTTGATCTCTTTCAGGTTGTTTGAAGGACGTTCCTCAAGAAAACCAGAAAAGCTTAAAACACTGTTTTGCTACTTTAGAAGAGTCACAGAGAAAAGTAAATTCTTTTCATTCTTGCTATAATTTTTATCACTGATGGGGACAGTTCAGATCAAGAACATTTTGTGTTCAAAGTACACCATCCCGCCCAAACCAAATAATTCAATATTATAATCTAAATTTTATGCACATGTGTATATACATAAGTGTATGCTATGAATGTGTGGAGGGTTTTATGTATTCTGAAATTAGACCAGCATAACATATTACAATGTGTTTTCATGAATAAAAACAATAAATATTTTCAAAAGAAAGTATATTGAATGAAGAAATACATTTTTGGTGTGCTTTATTTAAAGAAGCATTGACTATTAGTTTATTTGTAGAGGTCAACCAATTCATTGTCTTTCTACTGATTCTTCTTTTGTGTCCCCTTTAAACTCTTTGTAGAGTTCTTATAAAACAGTGTGGTAGTTGGCCCTGGCCAAGTAGCTCAGATGGTTAGAGCATTGTCCTCCTATGCCAAGGTTGTGGGTTTGACCCTTGGTCAGGGCACATACAAGAATCAACTAATGAATGCACAAATAAGTGGAACAACAAGTCAGTGTTTCTCACCCTTCCTCTCTCTCTCAAATCAATTTAAAAAAAAAAGTGTTGTACTTAGTGTTCACATGTCTATCTTCCTCTGTTGAACCTCCACTATCTTGTTTTCTCAGAGGCTAGTTGTAGCACCTGAGGCAGTCATGGTAAATATCTAACCAGTGCTCTTAGTGACCAGCTGATTATAGATTGGCATTGCTACTCTTATCCTAGCTCTTGGCGGCTACAGGCAAGTTAAAGGCTTTACATCTCTAAGCCTCAATTCATCTATAAAATAAAAGAATGATGATAATTATCTCGTAGGCTATTTGTAAATATTAAATGAGAAGATACATGCTTAGTAAACATTAGCTATTATCAATGGGTGGCCTTTCTTGCAAGTTGGTTATTAAGAAAACCAGAATATCTCAAAAGTTTGCTTTTGCTAAATAGAGCAAGTCAACTCTGGTCAAGTGAAATGAGTTCTTTTCAGTTTAGGTCATCCGGGTTGTGGGATTGTCTTTAAAACACATCATTGAATCATTTTAAGGCCTTTTGTTTTTTTTCCTCACATCCTTCCTTTAGTAAGTAATCTCACATCACAGTATGCTTACTTGGCATTTTTCCCCCTTGAATGTATTGCTATCGGACATTGTTCAGATTTTTTTAAAGAAATCAATTATCAGGATTTTGGAATTTAAGGGAAAAATCACATGTTTCTTTGATGGAGGATTATTTCTTAGCTTATTAATTTTTAGTTTGTCCTTTGTACTTACTGAACTATTAAGGAAAACAAAGGCACATTCAGGCTTATGATGCATAAAACCAAATTAGAATTTGTAATAATTAATTAGAAAAATAAGTACATTTTTTTGCTACTCTAAATAGAATGAATTTCATTATTATACCTAAGTAATTCAGAGTTTACTTTTCTGTCCTTGGAGTCAAATCATGTATCTCCTGTAAAGGCTAACTTGCCTTTCTACGTTTTAGGATTTTAAATAATTTGAGGGAAAAAGCTAAAGTTTTGGTTTTTCAACTAGAAATTTATAAACCATCGTAAGTGTTAGGAATTAGTCACACTGAAAAACTAAATTGTAATTAGACACCTTATGTCCTATCTTTTTCACTATATACCAATTTAGTTCTTTGTAGGAATATAGTGAAATATGCTATAGGTTTTCAGGATATAAAGCTACAGATTTCAGGAGGAAATACTAATTGGAATAAAAGAGGTTTGCAATTTAATGATTACTTTTTATAGAAGTTCTAGAGTCTACTGAATAGAAACTACAGAAATATATTTAAAGTACTATATATTTCATAAAATCTTGAACATTATAGAAGGTTGGAGATGCCATTATGTTATATATTACTAAGAAGGGAAAAAAATAACCTCAGGATAGGGAGTCATAGGAAACTTCTCTTACAAAGCTGGTCCACCAAAGGTCTGTATGGATAAATGAGAAACTCACCTGGCCGTGCAGAAAAAGGACAGTAAGCAAACTGCAGCTGTCAATCTGGACACTGGGTAGAGAGGGGACCAAAAAAGAAAAATCTCCCCTGAGAACTTGAACCACAGGGCTCAAGTTTGAGGTCCTAAGTGATTATTACTAGTGTGATCCACAAAAGCGTGCAGCAGATTTAATTCAGACTGATCTCAAGTTGGCAGTGCTCTTAGATGATCACAGAAGCAGATGTACTTCTTCTCTGGAAAAATTTAACTTTATTTCAGACCAAATGCAATGGCTGGATACCTCTGACTATGAAAGATGTATTCTATTTTCAGAAATTTAATACAGGAAAAAAATGTCCTTTTTAGAATTGATAAAATATAATTCCATCAGGACCAACTTTTGAGTGTTGTCAAACATCAATATTGAGACTAAAAAATTTAAATAACTTTCTGAATTACTTGATTTTCAATATAGTTTTAAATAAAATAGAGACGGAGTATTTAAAAATTAATGATTCATATGCAGTATACATTTTGGTTTATTAATGAAAATATTTAAGTAACCAAAATAACCTATTCTGTCATGAAAGGTACATTTTTATGGAAGAAAAGTAATAAGCACATTCTTAAGGTATTTTTGTTATTAATTTTATCTGAAGAACCATGTTTATCTGCCTTTTCTTTCACTTTGCCAGCATTGTTAATTTTGAATTTCCTTTGGTCTCTCCTAGTGTATATGAAGGATATTTATATTCATCTCTGCTAAGTTACTAAATGATGATACTAACATTAGTTTCCTATTAATAGAATTACTTCGCTAGTTGGAATTGTTTGACTTCTTAGTTACAAATTTTAAATGTTATCTATTTGTCTTAAAGAAAGTTAGATATCTAATGAATATTTTATAACCCATGTTAACAAAATTCTGTTTTTTCATATAAATATTTTTATGATTTTTGAGTTATTACTGCTTGTGATTGAAAGCAAAGAAATGTAGAATCATCCAAAGGAATGACATGTTGCTAAGCTTTCATTGCGACTCTACCATCATTATCACTAATAGTTCCTGACATATTTCTCTTTGCTTAAGAGCTTTAAAAAAAAAGAAAATGGCCTGACCTTTTTAGTTTATTCTTTGATTCGAATCAAACAAATTGCTTTTGGCCAGCTGATTTATTTGTTGCTTTTTCTACTAGTTAAAAGATAAGCCAAACAAAAAAGGATCTTATCCTCAAAAATTTACTGTGTTTGATCTTCTTATATCTATTGCTACTTAAAAACTATGTCATCTTTCTCCTCTAACCATTTAGAACACAGTAACTTCTCCTTATGGCTAAGGCACCTTATAAATAGAGCAATTACATATTGTTTAAGCCCTGGATTTGGCTATGTTAACTCCAAAGGCATGGCAACAATTTTCTCTTTTTAATTCTAGAGATTTTATTTCATTATAACACACAAAAATGTTTATACATTCACCAGTTTATAGGTGTCAGGTTAAGGTTTTTCTCTGAGAGGAGCCTACAGATTAAAATTCTGTTCTGTCTTTATTGTGTAAGCTACACTCATTATGCATCTTTTTTTCCCAATTATTTTTTTAAAGTGTTTGCAATTTAGAAAATGTCACTAAAAAGTACCAGTGCTCAGAATCTCCTGATGTGCTGTCATTTGTGTATTTTTTTGTTTTAATGAGGTCTTAACTATTTTATAGGAAGAATTCCTACTGTAAGGGTATTATTTTAAATCAATCTTCTGTTGTATTCCAACACTAAGCTTGGTGCTTCCTGATTCGTTTTATAGCTATTGTTAGATTGATTATTTTACTGAATATATGTATGATCTTTTAAAATCTAAGCTTATTTTCGGTGTTTCTTTTTTTCTTTTATTGCTTTTGTAGAACCTACTGGGTTGGTGACATTTACAAGACAGAGTCTTGAAGATTTTCCAGAGTGGGAAAGGTAATAAGGATAAAAATAATCCTGGAACCTTAGAATTAGAAGGAATCTTTTTACCATGAAAGAATTTTATTTTGCAGCCTCTGGAAAGGTGTTTGTCCAACCTCTTAAAAAATTGCCTTTTTGCTAGGAAGTTTCCTCTCATAACTGATCCATGGATCGCTGTCATTGTTAAAAAGATTATACCTTTTGAATCAAAGTCTGCAACCCTTTGACTTTTTTTTTGTCTTCTGTCTTAGTTTTGTCTTCTGAAAGTCCTATTTAGAATTAAGGAAATTTGTGTGCGAAGACATTAATATTAAATGGAACACCCGTATTTAATGTTCCTTCTTGCCCTCCTTTTTTGGTTAGTGTTTGTATTTTACGACTTTTTTTCCTGGGGATCAAGATTGGGAAAAGTTTTTTATTAAACTAAATGTAAATAGTAATTAGCTAGAATATTGCCTGATGGGTAAGAATTTTGAGGTTTTGCTGTCTGTGTGTACTATTGGCAGATTTTGTGGAAGCTGCTAATTTCCTGTGTTTTGCTCTTATTATTTATCTGCAAATACTGAGGAGAATAATAACCAATCTGAGTTTATCAGGTTTGTAAATTTTTTAGTGTCCTGGAATAGTGAACACATTTCCTAATCTAGAGCCAATCCCCAAAGCACTTAAATAATAATGGATCAACTTTTTCAACATATGTGAGGACATGATTAGACATACTAAATGCATATTTTGGTTGTGCATTCATGTTAACCAGTGCCTCTTATTTTCACTTTCTAATAATTTTTACTCTAGTTTGTAATTGTTCTTTTTGGAATTAGTGATGAAAGGGAGTCACTCTTAAGGGAGTTAACTTAAGGAGACACATCTTAGGTGGCTTTCCCATAGTGTTTTCATTCATCAAACATATTCATTTGTGAGGGGAAAGAAAAACAAAGTTACTTTAGGAGGCTGGCTGCATGACTGAGATGATTATTAATAAAGGGAAGTGAATAAAAGACTAAACACCTGAAAAGAACAAAAACACAGTTGAGCCAGAAAGGAAGAGAGTACGCGCAACATTTTGGGGTCATGACATGTTAGAGATGAAAAGGACCTGAGAAAGTCATCTGGTCTAGCTGCCTACTAAAAATATGATCAACTCTTTAACACCAATGACAGATGGAGACTAGACAGCTTCAGTGGTGGCAAATGCACTATTTCACTTTCATTGGCTGCTTGTGTTATTTTCTAATACTTCCATTCACTTAAAAAGTATGTCTTTCCACCCTGGCTGGGTAGCTCAGTTAATTAGAACATTGTTCCCATATGTCAAGGTTGCAGGTTTTATTCCCGGTCAGGGCACATACAAGAATCAACCAGTGAAGGCATAAATAAGGGGGACAACAGATTGATGTTTCCCCCACCTCTCTCTAAAAACTATTTTTTTAAAAGTCTGTCTTTCCAGTAATTATCCCCTCTACTCCTGGTTCTTCATTCTACAGCTACAATAAATAAACTTAATTTTCTTTAACATTTAGTCTTCCTTCATGTATCTTAATGCGTTCTTGATTCACCCCACTTCTAACAATGCACACAGGCACAAACAAAACTTACTTATTTCATCTATTTCACATATAATATGAATTCTAAACACTTTATCTCTGCTCTGTTCATACCTCAGACCATTTGTCCCTCTTAAAATATGGTGCCTAGAACTAAAAGTAACAATCTGCTATGTTATCTATCCAGACCAGAGGACAGAAGATTGCTTTTCTTAGTTCTTCAATTAGTCTCTAATAGGAATTCAGATTTTTTTTTTTTACATTACTTTGTTGTAGATTTTATAGGTCATTCAGTGGTCTTGTTTTCTAATTCAGCTCAGTATTTCTAGTCTGCATTTGACATTCATTTGGCAGTAATGTGAAAGTGCACTCACTTATATGTCACCATCTGGGAGTGAAGGGATAAGTCAAAATGCAGAGATCTGCAAGGCTGTTGTGTCAGTGAAATAATTTTGCCCCTGAGTAAGATCAAGATACTCCCCTTAACGTTGATAGACAGAATTTAACTTGGTAACCTTTCTAACTTTGAAAAAATGTCTTTGGTCTCTGTTTTGTTTTAGCTGCTTCATAAGTGAGTTGGAGAGTATAATTAATATCCATCTCCCAGACTCCACAGAACCAGAAACATGCATTCACTTAAAGAGGAAGGATGAAGAAGAGATGAGGATTGTTGGTGTTTCTAAGAGTAAGGGGCTACATGGGCACCAGGAAGTTATAGGCTTTTTTGATTTCTAAGTTTCTGACATGTTATAGTTAACCCTGTGATTATCAGTACATACATTAGCCAGGCTTAATTATTCACTGAGAGCCATAGTAGGCTATGTCTTTGATTTCTGGGACAGTGGAATGGAGAATTTTCAGGGGACAGAAGGGAAAACCTATCAGGGAGTTGGAGGATGCTTAAAAAAATGCCATCTTCTAGCATTTTCGTAATTTTATTTGATAACTGAACTCTAAGTTGACAACAGCTGAGATTTCTGTTTTGAAATCCTGACTGACAAACCAGAGATTTCTGGATCATGCGTTTTAATCTTTTCAGTAGTATTCTCACAGGTGGTCTCCCTTGGAATAAAATTACTAGGAAAGTAGGACCCCCCACCCCCCAAAAAAGAAGTTTAAAAAAATCAAACTTGTGGTACTATTTTCTACAAGAGGTTTCCGATGTAATTTTTGAAAAGTACCTCACACTGGGTAAGGGCTTGAACCATTGGCTTAGGTTACCTGGATTTAAATTTTTATTGTTTCATTTACTAGCCGTAGGCAGGTTACTTAGCCCTTAGCCGTTTTCTGTGCTTTGTTTTCCCATCTGTAAAAGTAGGGTTGTTGTGAGGATTAAATGAGTTAATACAAATTAGGCTCTTAGAACAGAACCTGTGCTGAATTACCTTCTAAGTTTAAGGCTCTCAATTCTGTTTGACTGAGTTTAGGCTGAAATGTATTTGACTCAACTGAAACCAGGAAAAAAGCATAACAGTAAGTAAATAGTGCTTCTGTTACCAAATAGCAAGTGGGGTCCTGCTGCCCACTGCCACCCTCTAGGCCAAATTCCAGAGGTTTGGTGATAAAGGAAAGGAGTCTTTATTCAAAGCTACCCAATTTTGGAATAGCAGCTATCCACATACTTTAGTCATTTAAGCCTATCAAAGCTAAAATTTTTAACTCTTGAGTTCCCCTATCATTCCCCATGTTAGTTTTTAATTATCTTAGTTCTATAAAGTTAGTTTACAGATTAACATAAGATACAAAAGCTACACAATCTTGGAAGAATGGCAGGCTTTTGCCTCGGAGCCCCTCCCCTCTAGAACACCCAAAAAAGAATAATCCTGCCACCCTCTGCCAGGCCATCCCAATCTTAGGCTGTCGCCACAGTTCCCTCCCATCCAAAATACCGTCCTTTGGGAAACACAAAGGCAGCTGCAGCACAATCATCCAGGCATCTTCCAGGAAGAAGAGTCAGTCTTTGCTCTCTTTACTTTAAATTTTCTCACCCATATTTCCATGGGTTCTGGAGGCATTCAGCTTCTCAACCAATCCCATCCTAGACTGTTTGCCATTGCCTTGGGCAACTTCCTCCTATGGCCCCTCCCTACCCCTACCCAGTGATCTCTTCAGATCTCTATCACTTTCTCAGTTAAATTGTTTCTAAAAATAGATAATTGTTTAAAAAAATATATAATCCCCATCCAAAATTAATGCCAACCTTATATAATTTAGGGGATTTTGATCTCATCTTTTACATTCAATTATACTTTATTTCTTTTTCAATAATTAGGGGGAGTAATTACTATATTTTACCTTATACTTTATTTCATTTTCAATAATTAGGGGGGAAATCTCCTAAGGAAAAAAAAGTCATAAACAAATGTTACTAATAAAATGGCATTAGTTTTTTAATGTAATGTAAGCTAGATAAACACTGAGAAAAAAAAAGTTTTTCCTGAACTTCTTAGAGTCTCTGTCTGCATCTGAAAATTAAACTAACCAAGACAGAGTTAACAGGGGAAAAGCATACAAATTTATTTTATATAAGTTTTATGTGACATGGGAGCCTTTGTAAGGAAATAAAGACCCAAAGAAATAGATGTCTGTATTTTTAGGCTAGATTTAATGAAGAGTAGACAGTCATAAATGGGTTAAGGAATGTGAGGTAATTGTAGTAAACTTGGGGAGACTGCATGGCCTCTCTGCCTTTGTTAGGATTCTTCTTGGGATCCCTTTGTCTTCAAAGATAAGAACACTGCTTTCATTTAAGCATAAAGAGGGTAACTCTCACAGGAGGGTTTTGTGGCCTGTTTCAGGGAAGAAGGAAGGTTTGAGTGACCTTGCTTCTGCCATCTTCTCAAACCTCTTCAGCCTAAAGTATTGAATATACCAAAGGGTAACATGTCCTGAACTTCATTAACAGCTTAGTGACCGTGGTTTATGAAAATGAAAGAAAATAATTGTTACTTTCAGGTGTTAGATTCAGCTGTCAATTTTATTAATATAAAAATATGACAGATCAGAATTTCTGTAGAATGTGTTTTCATCAAGACAACCCCCCCTCACATACACACGTTTATTGAACAAGTGAAAATAGAGCCCACGTGAGAATCATATATGATTTATTACCAAATTTTTCTATGTTTTTCCTTAGGTTGTCAACTCTAGCTTAATAACAAAATTTTATAGATCTTACTTTAAAAAAATATTTTGAGAGGTTTTTCAACTCTTAAAAAAGGAGGAATTTTGATATTTTATAGGGGAAAACAGTCTGTTATCTCATTTTAATTTAAAAATGTATATTAGCCCTGACTGTTATGGCTCAGCTGGTTGGGCATCATTCAGCAAAGCAAAAGGTCACCGGTTCGAATCCTAGTCAGGACACATGCCTGGGTTATGGTTTTGGTCCCCAGCTGGGGCATATGTGAGAGGCAACCGGTTGATGTTTGTATCTGACATCGATGTTTCTCTCCCTCCCTTCCGAAGGAAGGAAGGAAGGAAGGAAGGAAGGAAGGAAGGAAGGAAGGAAGGAAGGAAGGAAGGAAGGAAGGAAGGATTTTTAGAGTATACTTATATATCTGAATTAGAAGATGTTTGGGAGGCTTTAAACCAAGAATGTTAACAGTAGGCATCTGTTTCTAGCTTTTGAGATTTGGAGTGGTTTCAAATTTTTTTATAGCTTTTATATTTTCAGATTTTTTTTTTGTAGTGAAATACCTGTCATTAAAAGATAAATAAGGGAATTTTTTAAAAATTGTAGGTGTGAAAAATTCCTGACTCGACTGCATGTCACTTATGAAGGTACCATAGAAGGCAATGGTCAAGGCATGCTACAGGTAGGTGAATCACAGCAGTGTGTGTGTGTTTGGGACTTTTATCAAGCTTCTGACAGCAAAGGGAATTCAAAAGCTGTTTATTTCCTAAGCTAATTTAATACAAAGAAGAATGGTAACAGAATGGAGAAAAACACCAAACAAATCAACTTGACAGCCATGGTAATATTGTTACTTGCCAATGTATAGTCTCTGTTTCTTACATGAGCCACTTTTTTAAAAAGCCTTTGACAGAAAATCCCAACATCTGGACAACACCGGGCCTCTTGGTTCAGACATAGATTTTAGATTGACAGTGAATGAAGTTTCCAGAGTATGGTCTTGACAAGCTGTCACCAGACGGTTTTGTTCTTTTTCTTTAAGGGCTCTTGCTCTGCCCTAAATGATGACCAGCTTGCGATGTTTTTCTGCCACCAACCTTATTTAGGTCTGGGAGGCAGACATCTAAAACTGATTGATAAAAACTCCTTTCTCCCATATGATTGTTTTAGCCACATGAACCAACTATGCTTGCTGTCTTTACCCTCTTGTAGAGCAGACAGTTTTTCCATCTCTTAATCTTTATTAATCTGTGTTACTGCCTTTACTTAAAAAAAATATTTTGGAAAAAGGAGTTAACAAGCTTTAAATTGATGTAACGCCTAACCTGAACATCTGTTTTGCTTTTGCTTCAAAGTGATTTTTTTTTTTCAAATCACTCATCAGAGAAACTGCTAACATTTTCTTATCGTGTTCCTATTCCATTTATAAGAGCATTGTAGTATCAGTTTTCTTTCAGAGAATCTTGAATATCACTCATTTACACTGGGAATGGCTGGGTGGTTTTTTTTTTCAGTCCTTATTTGATGACTGTACAGGGCAGATCAAAAATAGGTTTACAGTTTCAAATGGTGAATAATACAATAATTAATAAATAGTAATACAAGAATAAACTCTGTGTTTCACGTACTCACAACTGTAAACCTACTTTTGTCCTACCCTGTACTGGATCAGAAGCTACATAAAGCAGTTGCCTGAGAATAGACTAATATATTCAAATAACAGTATTGTAAAGTGACTAGACTGATTTGGATTTGGCTAGTTATGTGATGCCCTAAGTGCCTAATGATACAGATAGCATTTCCTTTCATTAGACATATTTGTAATTGAAATCTTCAAAGAAGCAAGCAATGTTTTGTTTTAAATCACCTCTCCCAGTGATTATTGAGATAATAAACAAAAATACTCAGGATACCTGAATTAATATTTGTCCTGTACTTTAAAATTGTTTTAAATTTGTATTTAATCAGTACTTTTTCTTCTGTTTAAAACAGTAATTTTGAAATATGGTTCAAATTTATTTCAAATGAATATCACTTTTCCCCCACATTTTCCTACATTAAAGTCCTGGATTAACTAAGGGAGTGTTAATACACACAAAATCAACAAAGCTACTGCTAGTTAGCACTGCAGGAATGCTGGCTTCCATTACAAAACAGTTCAATAGGAATTATTTAACAACATTCAAGATTGAGATTCTCCGTACTTTTCTGGAATATATTATAGATGAAATATGAAACCTCAGAAGATTAAAAGAATACCATAAATGCTTCTACTAATTGTTCTCCCTATTCATGCCATGCATCCCTAGGAGATCAGGGAATATTGTATTACAGTGCCACAAAGCTTCTTGTGTAGCATATAAATTATATTATGCTGAATGGCAACAACAACAAAACCTCTAAGGAGTATTATCATTTCTCTTCATCAAGTTATAATTCAGAAACTTGAGTAATCTGAACAAGTAGCTTTAAAGTGAGTTGGAAAATGACTGGGTAAAAATAAAGAAGTACTCACATGCTGTTTTCATGTACTGGAGCCAGTTTCTCACCTGAGTAGCTTTTTATTAACTTTTTTAAGTGGTAGAAACTTTGATTTTCTAAAGGACTCCTCCTGCTTTCAGAGGCATATTGAGTTTAGTGTATTTATTTCTGTGCATATCTTTCAAGTAATGGATGTTGGCCTTTTATTTTAAAAAATGAACAATAGCATGAATGTATGGACATTGAATGTATTTCATTTACCATTGCCAAGTAATACAGAAGTTGGATAAAGCTTACATTTCTATTTTGACTATTTACCATGTTTCAGTAAAAATTAAGTTTAGCTGATCTCAAACCTTATTTGTTTCTTTTTTTTTTAATTTACAATACCATTATACTTAGCCAGTCTCTCAGTTTTTAAGTGCTATCTATTTTATTTCTTTTGGGGTCTCTCCTTCACTTTCTTTCCCATCATCATATTTGAGGACCTAATTGTGCTTGTATAAACTATTCAGTAGTCACCTAATCAGTCTCTGCTTTTAATTTTATACTTTTCCAGTTTATTTTAAACTGTAGCTTGAGTTACCTTCCTGAAACACAGGTCCTTTGTTGTTACTTTTTTTTTTTTTTTTTTTTAGAATCTTTCCCAGAACCTTCAAAATTAAGTAAAAGTTTTCTGGACCCCATACTATCTCATCAACAACTGTGACCCTCCCCATACTGTACATTGCAACCAGGCATGAGGAATCTGCTTACCACTCTCCTCAGAGAGCTCCTTACATTTGGTTTTTTTGTGTTTTTGTGTTTTTGTGCAGCTATTCCCTCAGTCTAAATGCTGGCAAAATCCAGATCGAATGACATGGCCTTTTGTAACACACCCCATCCTCCTTCCCGTACTCTAATTTTGTTTAATTGGATTATTTCAACAGTATCAGATAAATACTAATAAGTTCTTTAATAATTATTCTATCATTCTGCTTATGTGCCTGACTCCCATCTAGATTGCAAATACTGTGAGGAACCATGTTTTACCTATCTTTGTTTCCCATGGGTCCCAGCATAGTACTCTGTTAATATTTGTTGAATTGAGCAGTTTAAGCCATAAATCATCCAGTGCATAAAGACCTCATTATATAGTAGGTAACTAATTTTAATCAATGGACTGGTTGTCTAGCTTTAACCCTAAATTATTTTTCTATAAAAGCTAAAGAGTTCCTCTGTTTTTTAGCATTGATTTAGTAAGCCCAAATATATATGATTCTCTATGGTAACTCATTTCAAGAACTTGTCTAGTTGTAATTTTTAGTATTTTCTAAGTTCTTTTATAGTGAAAGAATACTTTGCCTTCTGTTAATTTCTGTCTTTTCTCAAAGTTTTCCATATCAAAAGATTCATACTCTTGTTCTACTCTTTTGTAAAACAGACTTCAGATAGTCATTTAATGTCATAATTGCCTTAGAGAACACAAACAAGTTTTAAGAAATCTTTTATATGAAAAATAGCCTGAATAAAGTGCACTTGCTGGTGTGGCTCAGTGACAGTAGCATCATACTGTAACTGAAGGGTTGTGGGTTTGAATCCCTGTCAGGGCACATCCCTAGGTTGCAGGTTCATTCCCAGTCTGGGTGGGGGAACATGTGACCACTGGTCCAGTGTTTTTGATCCCCGGTCTGGGTGCGAACAAAGGCAACCAATCAGTGCTTCTCTTGCATCAATGTTTCTCTCTGTAAAAGCAAATGAAAACGTCCTTGGGTGAGGATGAATAAATAAATGGAAATATATGTGAAATAATACAAAACTCTTTATTGGTCTCTGCTCCAGCTTTTGGCAAAGAGCTCTTTCCTAAAACCAGGGTTGTTATATAAGTGATAGGAGCACTAGGAGCATCTTTTGTTCTAATAATCAGTCTTTGATTTTGATTCCTGACACAGAGTTCCTAAATCCCTTGGAATTTTCTGGGCATTCTAATGAGGTAATCCTTAGTGGACTCCTGGATAACTTCAGGATGGAGGCTGGTCCCTAGGAAGTCAAAGCCATGCTTTGAAGTTTGGAACTTTCTACTTAGCCTCCCATCCTCTGAGAAAGGACGAGGGGCTAGAGACTGAGTTAATGATCAATCATGCCTACATTCTGCACATTCTATAAAAACCCCAAAAGTAAGGGATTCAGAAAACTTCCAGGTTGGTGAATAAGGAGAGGGACTTCCCGAAGCTCTCTGCCCCTTCCCGTATACCTTGCCCTGTGTATCCCTTTGTTTTGTTGTTCATCTGTATCCTTCATTATATCCTTTTTGATAAATCAGTAAAGGTAAGTAAGGGTTACCCATAGTTCTGTGAGCTACTTTGGCAAATTATCAAACTCCGTAAGGGGGTCATGGGAACCCCTATGAACAATCAGTTAGAAGTTGGGACTTGGAATTGGCATCTGAAGTCTGGCAGTCTTGTGGGACTGAACCCTTGACTTTTGAAATCTAATGCTATCAAAGTAGGTAGTGTCAGAACTGAATTGAATTATAGGACACTTGAGTGGTATTGCAGAATTGTTTGGTGTGAGAAAACCCACACATTTTGGTGTCAGAAGTGTTGTGAGTTTGCTAGTGGTGTGAAATGAAAGGCGAGATACAGGAGTGTCCTTTTCCTACACAGTAATAAGCCTTTCTTACATTACTTACTAAATTCTGTTTTTGTGTGATTATATATGTACACAGTTATATATGTGTGTGTGTGTAATATAACTCCTCAAATAGAATAATCTAAGGCAAAGTTGGGAACCATTTCTTATATATTTCCCCATAATTTCTAGCATAGTGTTGGACACTGTGGAGTGCTTAGAAAGTTTAAGATGAATAAATAATGATGGCACATTGAGTGTGCTTTCTCTTGAGGATTGTGTAACTCATCATTATTAAATGTAGATTGAGGATCCATCTTAGTATTCCACAGAAAACTTACGTATAGTTTTAAACTAAATTGGAAATATTAATTTAGTTGAATCTTTATTGTTAAACTAGGTTGTGTCTTCATTTTTTTTTTTCAGGTATATTTTAAAAATATAGTTTGTAATGTTTACATAGTTTGGAGTTTGCAATTGAATTTAGAAGGACAAAATCTTTACCTCTTTAGTCTTCCACAGAGGAAAATATTCCCCCAAAAAGGTCAATTACTAAACTTTACAGTTCTTTAAGAATAAGTGTTTGATTGCCATATTATGTAAGAAAGGTATAGTTACATTAAAGTCTATGAAATACATAAATGGAAATTGAGTAGTGAATGGTAGGGAAATGAACTTGATAAAACCTTTCCAGATAAAACCTTTCTTGATTTGTGGTCCTTGGAGCACAGAAGAGGTTTATAAATAAAATTTCATGTAATTATTACATTGAGTCTTTGTCTAAAAGCTCCATTTTCCAGGTTTCTTCTAAGGTTTTGGGGTCCAAAGAAATATGCAGAGATGTTAACTGTAGTAAGACAGAAAGAGTATAGTCAATCACAATCTATTCTCCCTGAGAAGATTTCTAATTTTGGTATTGATTTATATGTGAAAGGAAAGAAAGATTAGAGCTTAAAAGTAGTATACTTCTTTATCATATATGTAAATATTTTAGATTATCATTTAACTTGCCATGTTTTTTCAAATAGGTGGATTTTGCAAACCGTTTTGTTGGAGGTGGTGTAACCAGTGCAGGACTTGTACAAGAAGAAATTCGCTTTTTAATCAACCCTGAGTTGATTGTTGCACGGCTCTTTACTGAGGTGCTGGATCACAATGAATGTCTTATCATCACAGGTTAGTTTTGGCAAATCTGGAAAATCGGGTAGTTTCCCCCTCTATGAATATCTATCATGAAGACTAGAGGCCACCCAAATAAATTTTACTCTGCCATAGGCATTAGTTCCAATATTGGTATTCACTAATGCATACTTGATTTTTTTAAATTGTTACACAGTTGAACCCTTGAACACCAACCCCACCCTCCATTCCATGCAGTCAAAAATCCACGTATAATTTTTACTCTCCCAAATCTTAATTTGTCCATTGGTATTGGTTCCAGCCGCCCCCCTGTCTCCCTGCCCCCCTGCACAGATACCAAAATCCCCTATAAAAATGGTGTAGATCAATAGATATAGTTGGCCCTCTGCATCTGCAGACTCCCAAACAGGGATCAAAGACAGTACAGGCTATTCATTTTTAAAAATCCATATATAAGTGGCACTAGGTAATTCAAATGTGTGTTTTCAAAGGTCAACTCTAGTTATATGTTTCTAATCTTGAGTAAGACATTTTATCCCCGCCATTTTTTTCTTGGACATCATTATCTGAAGAACAAGGGTAAAAACTATTCAAATATCCTTCGGTCTGAATTTTTCTGATGTAAGCCCTTAAAAAGAAGAAAGTGATAGGACTTTGAGCATGTATTCTATTATTATTCCATTATATTTCCAAAATGATTTGTTATACTTCAGTATGAAGACACTATATATAAATGCAAAAAGTACAGTTATAGTGTTTGGAGAGAGTCAGTACAATAGTGAGCTTTAAAAAGGAGAAACAAATCAGTAATTTTATGGTTACCCTAATCTCTAATTCTAGGAGAAAAAGTGTGATTATCTTAGTATCTGTCCTTCATTTAAATTAATAAAAAAAGGAGAGGGAAATACAGTCAAATTTATACTTTAAGTCTGTTATTGAGATTTTTTTCTTTATTCAAGTTTTTTTTGATTGAGATATTACTATGTCTCAGTATTTTCTTGTTGAATAAGCTACAAAAATGAATGATTAAGTAATAGCTCTTAAGAAACTCTTAATCAGTAAGTTAAGCCTTTTATGCAAATACCTAAAAGAACATTCTCACATAAAAACCATAATTACTCATCAATTGATGTCTTTTTCTTTCTGCAAAAGAGGATTTGTTATTTCCTTTTTGAATCTATTTCTGCTTTGAGGTTAGTATAGGAGACTAAACATTCAACTGGGTTGGAGAAGTTGGTTGATTGTTGGTCCGAAAGATTACAGTGGGAGAAAAAACATTCCCTGTGAAGTTATATCAAATGTATATTTAACTGATTCACCTCCAAAGAGGTACATGACAAAACTGCCTCAGGTACATTTGTAGGCAACCTTCAGAGAGTGTCCAAATTTTGTTTATGTTTTGCTTTTAAGATTCCCTCTTTGTCTTTGTCTTTCAGTAGCTTGATTATGATGTTTTTAGGTATTTGACTCTCCTGTTTGGAGTTCATTGAGCTTCATGAATGTTTAGATAAATCAGGTAAATCTTTGGTCATTATTTCTTCAAATATTCTTTCTGCCCCTTTCTCTTCCCTCTTTCTGCAACTACCATTATGCATCTGTTGGTACATTTGATGGTGTCCCATTGGTCTCTGAAGCTCTGCTCATATGTTTGTTTTTGCTGTTTATTTTTTTCTGTTCCTCAGACTGGACTACCTAAAGTTCACTAATTCTTTCTTCTGCTTGCTCTAATTTGCTTTTGCAGGGGAATTTTTAGTTCGATTACTGTACATTTAAACTCCAGAATTTCTGTTTGGTTCCTTTTTTTTTTTTTTTAAACAATTCCCATCTTTTTGTTGAGAGTCTTTATTTGTGAGGCATTATTCCCATACTTTCATTTAGTTCTGTAGACATAATTTCTCGTTTGTTTTGAACATATTTAAAATAGATGATTTAAAGCCTTTGTTTAGTAAGTCTAACAGCTGGGATACTTGGGGACAGTTTCTGTATTGACTAATTTTTTTTTTCTGAATATGGGCCCTACTTTCTCATTTCTTTACACATCTCAATTTTTTGTTGAAAACTGGATGGTTTAAATAATGTGGTAACTCTAGAAATCAGGTTTTTCCCCTTCTCCCAGAGTGTGTTTTTGTTGCTGTTTGGTGGTATTCACTTACTTTTCTAAACTAATTTTGTAAAGCCTGTATTCTTTTTGTTTGTTTTATTTTGTTTGTTTTGGTAACTGATCTTTTTTATTGAGGTATAATTGACAGATAACATTTATATTAACCATTATATTTGTGTCACATGTACAGCATAATGATTTGGTGTTTGTATATATTGCAAAAATGATCATCACAGTAAGGCTAGTAAGTTTCATTACCATAGAATTACAAAAATCTTTTTGTGATAATCTTTTGATATACTCCCTTAGCAACTTTCAAATATGCAATATACACTATGAGTTTGATTTTAAACAAAGAAGAGAAGGAGAATTTTTTAGCATGGCAATGTATATTAACATGGAAGGAACTAAGAACTATCCTGAAGAAAAGGTCAGTTAAGTACATTTTTAGTGGCCTTAGGTACAGGCAGAAAAAGTCAAAGAGAAATAGGAAGCAACACCAAGCTTCTGTCCTGAAGGACTCATTTTGATGTTGGGGTGGAGAGGGGCTTGTTCCTCTATGAGAACACAGGGCATATGATTGATGGCATCCATTCCTGTGAAATGACAGCAGAACATGGTGGCTCACCCTGACATTCAGTGGCATGGCAGAGAGGAGAAGGAGCCTGTGGCAGAGGCAGCAGCAGGAGGAGGGGTGAGCAAAGGAGACACAAAGGCTTAAGCAAAATGTTCCAGGTTCCTCACATAAGCACTGGGCTCTTTCTGCCTAGCAGAGGACTGTATTGGCAATAGAGAGCCAAGAGAGAATGTATCTGGGAAGGACCCTTTCCCCAAGATGCCCTAACTTAGTATTGTAAAAACCAAAGGTCTATATTTTTGTGTGTGTGTATGTGTAGCCACTGAAGTCTCTGCTTGGTTAGGTTAGTGGTCAGCTAATGATTAGACAGATGTTTCCTTAAGTGCCTAGAACCAATAAGTTTCTCAGTCTTTGCTGAAGAGCTCTTTGCCAGCACTCCACCAGGCAGTTGACACTTCCTGCTTGTACTTGACATTTACTTCCAGCTTGCACAGAACCCCAAGGTTGGACAGAGAGGAGATCTTCAGACCTTCTCAGTTCTTAAGCATGTGGATAGCTATGAGCAGGTATATAGCCTTCTGTATTCCTGGGGATACTTAGAACTTTTCAAAGCGCATTATGGACATCTTATTCCTCAGCTTTTTCTTTGAAAGTTTTTGGTTTGCCTATTGTTTGCTCCAACTATTATTTACTCCCTCAAGCAGCTACAGTGTTCAACAATTGTTTATGATTGTTTTCAACAAACATCACTGGAGATTAGGCTTTTCCTACTGAGCACGCTCCAATTCAGGCCACATATAGTCTTGTGAGTGAGTTTTCAGGAAAGAACTAGATTGGTATATGATGGTAGTTCTCTGAGAATGGGGCTTTGAAAGAGCTTCAGCACTCTTCTACCACCTCTGGTGGCTACCAGGCTGCTAGTTTTCACTGTGATTATAGGCTGTTGGTCTTTAAGACTACCACAGAGCTCGGAAGAGTGGAATAGGAATAGGACAAGTTAAAAACACCACAAAACTCACTCTTTTTTCCAAGATTCAGCCATTTTTTTTGTAATAAACACTCCTTGGACAGCTACAAGCTTTTGATTAACTCCCACAGTTCAGAAAAAGTTGATTTTCATATTTTTTACCAGTGTTCTTACTGCTTTTATGGAGGAGGGAATTTACTCCACCATTTTTGCTGATATATTCTTACCTTTTTTAAGTACTTGTTGGTAAAAAGGCTTTCAAGTTATTTCACATCATTTAGATATCCTGTTTTTTTTAGCATGATTTTTTATTTTATTTTTCCATTACCATTTAGCCTCCTTATATTACACCTCTCCCCCTCATAATCACCACTCTGTTGTCTATGACCATGAGTCCTTTTTCCTATTTGATCCCTTCACCCTCTCAACTCCCCTCCCCCATAGCTGTCATCCTTCTCTCTACCTATTAGTCTGTTCCTTTTTAGCTTGTTAGTTCAGCTTATTCATTTGATTCCACATATGAGTGAAATCATATGGTATTTGTCTTTCTCTGACTGGCTTATTTCACTTAGTATAATGTTCTTTAGTCCATCCATACTTGTACAAAGGGTAAAACTTTCTTCTTTTTTACAGCTGGGTAGTATTCCACTATGACCCAGATGCTACAGACTCTCACATTCCATACCTTCAGAGCTCTTTAAAACAGTATAAGGCCAATATTCAAAGTTCTTATTTTGTCCAGCAGTGAATTTATGACAATTTACTTTTTTCTGTAATTCCTTGTATTCTCTTCTTCCCTCACATCTTCCAAATACATTCTTTGTATCTGCATACATAATAAACAACAAATAAATATATCTAAACCAATATGTCACCTGAGACAACACTGAGAAGAAAATGGTGTTACATTTCCATTTTATTACAGTTTGGATCACAATCTCTATCTTAGAAGGAATCCTTTGCCAAGGTTCCAATCTTAATATCCTACAAACACTCAAACAATTAACAGCTGTATTTTTTGCCTTACCACATCAAAACAGCAGACTCTTGTTTTAGAGAGCTCTGAAGGTACAGAATATGATTGTCTCTAGCAGTTGGGTATATCAAATAATACTTTATAAAAAGTTTAATTTTTAGTAGATAAGCTAGATTTGAACTGAAGACTCAGGAAAAAAAATAGTCCACCAATCAATTTTTAAGATGAATATATATTTGATACTTGAACAATATAGGTTTGAAAATTGTTTTGAGATTTCCTTACTAACATGAAGCAATTGTATCAGTTACACTAGGCTACAACAAAGCAATCATATTGCTGCTTCTTTGTTATCAATACACACATTGTTATACTTTTCTAATATTCTTTTTGTGTTATCTTTTCAGTTTTGATG